CTCTTTTCACGGCCGGATTCCTTTATTATTTATCCGACGAGATAATATTTAATTACGAATCAGCCGGGTTTAAAATCCGCCGGAAACAACGGCCGCGCACGCGACCGAACGACCTGTGTATACGTATACATTCCTGAAGACGATTGTGATTGTCGCGCGATATTCGGCCGGGAAGATTTCGTGGTGGCGAAATATGCACCGTCGATGTACGCGACCGGACACCCTGTATATACGTGTGAATACGCGAAGACGATTGTAGTTGTCGCGCGATATTCGGTCGATAAGATTTCGTAACGGATCCAAGGTTGGGATGAATAATTTATTGATCGCGGCGCGCGCGGTGGCGAAATATGCGCCGAGTTCGCGAAACGTTTATGAGAAATTTCGCAAGCGAGTCGTTCGACGGTACATAGACGATAAATAATTGATCGCATGCGCGGTGTAATAAATTCTTCCCGCGACGGATTGTTTGCGATTCCATTAGCGAATCGAACCGTATCAAAAGACAGATGCAACAGTCAGCGTAACATACATCGATCGTTCCCCTAATTCCCATTGGCCGGGCAGGAGATTCTTAAGGGTATTTATTTACCGGGCAGCGTATTTCCCATAAAGATCGAACGGTAGGTAGCTGCACGGTCTGAACGGGAGAGCCGAGCGTGAAAAACGAGGAGGCGAACAGAAGCCAAGAGAATGGAAATCGATGCGTGGGCGCGCGGGATCGCTTCGGGAGGCTCCTCGGCTCGCGCGTCGGTCTTCAAGGCGGCAATTAAGAAGCTGTAACTAATGCGAGGGCTCGGCCAGACTCGGCGAGAGCCGTTAATCTCGTTTCGTCATTCTATCGACCGTGCTCTCCTCTTCGGCACGCGGACGTTGACTGCCGTCCTCGCCTCGACGCTGGCGCCGCGACCACTCGGCCAACAATTTTTCAAAAAACAGATTCTATGCGCGAGCTATTGTCGAAACGTACGACCGACAAATTTTTTTAGATCCGACGGGAAATTGTGTTTCGATCGCCAAGGCGGACAGAAAAATCGTTCTCGTGCGATTATAGTTAATTCGCTGTTATTCATGCTGACGCAACCGCGAATCCTTTCTTTTTAAAACACCCTATATAATTATAAGCTGTATGGTCAATCGCTAGACAAGTTTTTCGAATTTTTAATATCGAAGGGAAAACAGCTTCAATGCTTAATTGAAGAACAAATATTTCTTCAATCATTTACAATTTTAATTAGTTCAATTTGATTTATGGCGACACCACCATGAACCTCCTTTTTAGAGAGACACTCTAAACGATCATAATTTGCAAAAATAATCATAAGAAAAATATTATCAACTCTTGAGATCAAAGGAAAAATAATTTCAACCCTTAATTGAAGGACAACATTTTTTCAACAAGTTACAATTTTAATTAGTTCAATTTGATTTATGGCGACACCACCATGAACCTCCTTTTCAAAAAGACACTCTAAACGATCATAATTTGCAAGAACGATCATCAGAAAAATATTATCAACTCTTGAGATCAAAGGAAAAATAGTTTCAACCCTCGAAGCGAGAAGAAAATCTCCTGCAATTAATTGGCCGTTGTTTCGTCGTGCTAATTCCGCGGGGTTCTCGAAAATGATTGTGCCAGCATAGTCGGCGAATATTTCGGCGAGAGGAGACTTGAATTTTGAGAACCGCTGGAGCGGTTGCGCGCGCGAGCACGCACCCTCGACCGCATTTGAAGACGTTTTTCTCGGGGGCGAAGGTCCGCATGAAAAAAAATCGCCGTGCTGCCGGTTTTGCGAGCAGCTTTTTCGCGTTTACCGCTCGAAGATTCGCGAGCGGGCCGGAGTCCAATGAATTTTTCAGCCAGAAAACCACCCACCACCCATTCGGGACACATGTATGCGGCAACGCCCGGCGCATAATTGATTCGGTCAAAGTGGTTATTATTATTCGACTCGTTCGTCTAAAAATTTCTTTAGAATCCTCGACCCAGTTGCGCTATTTTTGTCCGAATAATTTGCGAGGGATGTTGCCGGAGAGAGCTCGCGCGCGCCCCCTCTCCCCATCTCCGACCCACCCCTTCCGCGCGTTCTGCTCTCCTTCCAATCCCCGGCGAATTTTCGCACACCCTCGGACGAATTGTTCCGTGATCCCTGGAACAGAAAAACCATCCCCCCTACCCCCGCAAAACTGTCTTTGTGTGTTTCAGGCCTGTTGACTCTTTGACACTTTTCTCTCGACTGAACAGTTTGAGCGACTCGATAATACTGCGTTTCCGAATCGTGATGCTACTTGCTCGACCCTCTCTCTCTCTCTCTTTTTCTTTCTCTTTGTCTCTCTCGCTCTTTCTCTCTTTTTTCTCACCTCTCTCTCTCTTCTTTCAGCACAGGTTGCCTGAAGATTGATATGTGAACGAGCATTTTTCTCTTTCTTTCACCTGTACGTGTGTCTTTCCATTTCTTTCTCTCGAGAATCTGGTGACATTTCGCTGTGAAAATCATTCTTGGAAATGTATTTCGATGCCGCTGCGGTAGATGCAGTAATTTCTCCCAGAAATGTTCGGTGCTTGGAATTGAAACCGGCAAATCCGAGAATACTAAGTCGCGATTCTTCGGGTCGTTTTTATAGAAACTCTGGCCAGTCCGCAAAAAATAATTGTACAACAATCTATACCAGCTAGATCAATTTTGAAAAGCCTCTACTATAATCTCCCTAAATCATTTCGAATGAAAAATATTTTTTCATTAGCGAAAGTGAATTTTCCAACTTCGATTTATCTTTCTCGGAAACTCTGCATTCGAACGTCCCTCCAGAGTCTGAACAATTTTTCCCACGATTTCGATCACCACGATCTTCAAGATCAAAGTCTTCTCTTTCGAACGACGTCAAAATTTTCGATCTACGATTTTGTCGTTCTTCTTTATCACAGTCCGAAGCGACCAAGCCCGACGCTGCGGAAAATGAATTCTGACAAATATTCGATTTTAATTCCAATCGCTAAGCAAACTTTTTTATTTCCAATTTTTTGCCACGATTCGAAGGCAATTCGGAGGCTACGTTACACGATTCGACGGTCACGTGCCTAGTAGCTCCGCGGTTTTCCTTATCTGAGTCACACCCAAAAGGCATAGGCGTAGCACTGGCACAGGGAAATTCACAGCAACCCGAAATTTGGCATTTCCAGGAGAAATTACTGTACTTTTGAAAACGTCACGAAATTCTCTGGATCCGGTATCACTCCGAATCTCTGCCGCCTTTCGACAATCTCTCGGACGTGTTTTATTTCTGACTTGTCTCTCTTTCTCTCTCTCTCTCTCTCTCTGTCTTTTTCCTTCTCTCTGTCTTATGATACCTATACTACATAGTCTTAGATTTACGAGGCGTCTCCTTCTGCCTAGATCTATCTGTCTGATACCGTCTGAACGTTCGTAGCTTTTGGGAAAGTACATTTATACACCCCGCCCCGTCCTCCCCAGGGAGGACGTAGTTCACGGAGTTATCGTGGCTGCACAGTAGAATTTTCGCAACTTGCTACTCTTCCGATAGCGGCGTCCTTCTTCAATTGGAATACCGATCGGCAATACCGCGGCAAAACGCCTTCGGCATTAATGCTGATTATCGGGCCGATTAGCGGGCCGAATGACACGGCCGCCCGATAATGGTAACGAATTGCGCGCCGCGCCGCCCTCCGCAGAGAACCGATCGCGAACGATGCTCGCCGCTGTTACTGACAACAGAAAACGGCCCGAGCCGCTCGAAACCTTCGCTGTACCGTTCAAAATGGCCCGCGTGATCGATACCTGCCGCGGAAACTCCTCTTCCTATCCGGCGTTAATTAACGCTGAAACTAGCAACACAGCCAAGACGGAACTGTTTCCACCGAAACCAGTAGAAATGGCTGGTTTTTAAGAGATACATGATAGTAGAATATTTTTGCATTTATCGATTTGTTTGAAATATATCTTTCCGTTATTACTATTCCATTTTGAGAATAAATTATGAACAAATGAAACGAAAATAGAGTTCATCGTATTACGCTATTGATTGCCGCTGCAAAGGTGATCGCATCATTGCGGAACAAACATGTGACGTGAAGTAAGAATTTTAAGATGAAATCGTGAAATCAGTCAGTTTGTCTGGTGGTGGTAGTTCCAGCGTTAAACCTTTGCACTCGGAGCCAAATTAACGCGAAATTTCAAATAGTTTTGCCGATCCAAATGGTGTTTCCATTTCATACAACCTAGTGCGTGTTATACATACGAAACAATTTAATATAAATACAACGTTTGAACGTTCAAACATTTAATATACAATTTAAATACAAACAAATCTGATTAATAAACTTGTTTTCCAACGCGATCGAACGGTTTTCAATGGCGCCTCGGAGTCGCCAGCCGAGATGCAAAGGATTAATAACCGTCCAGGAGCTCGAAAACGCGCGACTACGGTCGCGCGAATTTCGCTTGAGGATCTCTCGCGACATTCCGCGAATTCGCATCGGAACCGCCGATCCGGGGAAAACAGTTCGAGGTTCGAAATTAGCCGAGTGGAATGCTTAGCTAACGAGCTCGCCGACTGGCATAATTGTCGGCTTAATCGAATCGGTATTCCAATTCTATTTCCGACTAATTTCCGTGAAGCTAATATGGGATGAGCCGGTGTACTCCGCGTCTCTTTTATGAAACGTCGCATGACATCCGGCAGTGTGCACCCTGTTTGTTTGACGAGCCCGGCTTATCCTCCCCTGGTCCCTCGCGGGACAGTCTATCGATCGCTTAATTATCGCGGCCACTTATTCAAACCAGACCCTCCTTCGGCCAGCCGGCGAATAAAATCGGCCGGCAGTTTTTCCGAAAGGTCTGCCGCATTTCGCTCGGTAACGCCGCAGGCGTGTGCACTGCCGACATTTTCTTTCTCTATTGTCTATGGGATATCTTTCTATCGTTTTCTATCGGTCGCCGAGGCTTCTTTGCCGCCGCTGACCCCCGCGAATGGTTTTACAGAGTGCCCGAACGGACAGAAACCATGCGACAACGGCGTGTGCATCAACAAGGACTTCTTCTGCGACAACAACCAGGACTGCCTAGACAACAGCGACGAGCGCAACTGCCGTAAGATTATATGTCCGGAGCTATCGTTCGCGAGACGCTCCTGTTTTCTTACTTTGTCTGAGTCTGAATGCGTGATTCGTTGGACACCGTGTGGACGAAGCGTACTTACGGTGCCCGACGAAAGTGTTCGAACGCCTTTTAAATCGGAACGATCTTTTCACGAATTCGGTCGAACGACGGGAATGTTTTCGAGATGTTGGGGGAATTAGTGTACTGGAACGTGCTTGGAAGAGATCTTGCAAAAATTGCGGTTGAAGTGACGAGAAAAGCTCGGTTTTCTAATTTTTTTATATGAAGCTAGAACGAAAATTGGAACAATGCGGAAATCACAGTATTTCTCGTTCTAGGATCAGGTAGAGAAGTTTGGGAAAATGAATTTTATTTTGTTTATCGTTACAATTCATCATAATTGCCGAAGAAAACTTTTTGACGTTGTAAGCTGGTCCATTTAACAACTCAAGATGAAGTCGAACCATTTGGTCGAACCTTGAAAAACTTGTTCCGTTTTAAAATGGCGTACGAATACTTTCGTGAGGCACTGTATGTACAGGGTGTATAAAATTGTTTGGTCTTGGATGTCATAGGTGTATTCCGCATTTTCAGATCGATGGAGATTTCTAAAGGAAAGTTGCCGGAAAATTGTCCTTGAGCATGATTTTCGAGGTCAATTATTTTGTTATTGGAGAAACAATAGCCTTAAAGGAACCATGCAGTTAAAACTCAATGGTTCTTATAAAAAATGATAGCAAAGTCACGTTAGTATCAGAGTTTGGCAAAAATTCTATTCGAATTATAAAAAAGAAATTATTCAAGTAAAGATCTCTCTCTCTCTCTCTCTCTCTCTCTCTCTCTCTCTCTCTCTCCCTTTTCGAATTAAGAATTTTTCGAATTATTCGAATAAAGAATTATTCAAATGAAGAATTATTTGAATAAAGAATTATTCGAATAAAGAATTATTTGAATAAAGAGCTATATATTCGAATAAAGAATTATTCGAATAAATAGATAGAGAATAATTTATGACGAATAATGAATTATTCGAATAAAGGATTATTCAAATGAAGAATTATTTGAGTTATAATTATAAAGAGTTATTCGTATAAATAACCATTCGAATAAAGAATTGTCCGAATAGATGAATAAAATAATTTATGACGAATAATGAATCATTCGAACAAAGTATTCGACTATAAGGAATTCATTCGATTAGTATTACACGTTAAGTGCCGCACCGCGCCTTATTATATCACTTTTAACGTGCGATACTAACATGACTTTGCTATCATTTTTTATTAAAACCGTTGACTTTTGACCCACAATTCCTTCAACGCCTTTTGCCCCCACGATGCGTAGAATACAATGCAATAAAAAGAACTTTGACCTTGAAAATCATGCGCAAGAACAATGTCGCGTCAGCTTACCGATCTCCATCGATTCGAAGACGCAGAAATACGCCTGGACCGAACAATTTCGTACACCCTGTACAGCCTCCTCGAAACGCTTCACTTGAGATCATCGAAGTAAAAATAGCGCGGTGTCGGAGAAAGTAACGACCGTGAAAATTGCAGCGGACCCAGACGGAACCGACAAGCATCCGCAACCGGTAGGATGTCAGCAGGACGAGTTCTCCTGTCGCGACGGCAGAACCTGCATCCCCTTGTACACCGTTTGCGACGGTAGTTTCGACTGTCCCGACGAGGACGACGAGTTCAACTGTCCCGAAGGTGAGCGAACTTGCGCGGCCAGGTGCCAGGATGACGAAACCGCACCTAGACGCCACGTAGAGGAACGTAGGCCGGCCTAAAGTTGGCAGCACTGCCGGAGGGCTCACTGACACAAGCTGTGCTACCAGCCATGGAACTTCATTGAAATGGCATTGGAAACATGGCTGCGAGTAGATCTTGATCCTTTCCAATGACACCTCGAGATTTCGACGGACGACGCTTTGACACGTTGAGCGCCGCGTCGGTCGCACGTTGGTGACACTAATTCTGAGACCAATTTTGAGAATTCATTCTTATCATAGTTCAGGGTATCCCAGAAGTTACACGAAATCGAGAAATAAGAAGTGCCTGGGATCACTGAAAGTACAGAAATTTCTCTCAGAAATTTTCGGGTTTGAAATCGGCAGATCTGAGAACACTAAGCCGCGATTTTTTCGGGCATAGCACTAAATTACATAGGCCTAGAACTAACACAGAGAATTTCACAGCAACCCAGAATTTGGCATTTCCGGGAGAAATTACGGTAACTTTTTTCCATAGCGAAGATGCTTCATCGACGAGTTATTAACGAAAAACAATGACCAATCAGAGGCCGAAGCCCAGCTCCGCTAATTGACTCGGCCGTTTCGCGCCAGCTGGATCTCGTCTCTCATTGGTCACCGTTTTTCATTAATAACTCGTAAACGAAGCCGCGGATCGCACTTTCGCTAAGGAAAAAGTTCCTTCAAATCACCTCAGGAGCCCCTCACTTCTCAATTTTGAGTAACTTTTGGAACATCCACATTCGAGGAAACTGGTCTTGGCTATGACATTTCGGATGCGAAAGCGTTCCAATTTCATCGACTTACATTTTAATTCTCTACTTTCAATTGAATTAATTAAATTGCTTCGACTTTGTGGGAGCTCGTTGATTGTCGGCACTGAACCTCTTAACGAACATTTCATTGAAACGATTAAAACACCGCTCGAGGAGTCATTGGGCTCCGCAATGGGCTGGAAAGATCCGTTGCACCCTAACTTTAAACCTCTGAAGATTTCAAACGATTTCGGTCCAGGAGATAAACGGGTTTCCAGCCTGTTGCGGGCTCGTTCGCTGAGAGCAGAGAGACTGCCAAAGCTCTTTGTAAATACACTTCACTTTCGATCTTGCACCTTCGATCCGTTAGATCACACTGAGCACCAGGTGCGTACACAATGTTTGGTTCTGACACAAGCGTGCACACCTGCTAGAGGCAACGAATCGTGTCGCACTGACTGCACCATGTACCGCTGCCAGATCTTACTTGAAAAAAAAAAGAAAAGAGAAAAATATCTCGGTTTCCCCGACAGAAAATTCTGTTCCAAGTTATGCGCTCGAATACAGGAACGCGCAACCACGAGGAATTCGAGTCGCACGGTGTTCCTCGGTCAGAGCTCTAGAAGCACTGGCTCTGTCTCAGAGAAGGGGGAAAAAAGAGAAAAATGGTCGATGGGGATCATGTTGTTTGGCCAGAGTCCTAAATGGCCGTCGAGGACCGAAAGAGAATCGTACAAACAATTCCGTCGATGGCCAATTAGAGGCACAGGCTTAGGCGTTCGGTTACTTCTAGGTAGAAATGCGGATAGAACCTCCTCGGGGGGGCATCCGGACAGCCATACCTACGAGAACCAGGCTGGCAGGGGTCACAAGTCGGACTATCAGCCGCCGGCTAACCTAAGCACACGAAGGAGTTGTGCTCCGGATGATTTTGTTTGTGCTGATGGCACTTGCATCCCCGAAATCCAGCACTGCGACCATTTCTACGATTGCCGCGACTTTACCGACGAACAGTATTGCTTCGGTTAGATCACCTCGGGACCCCCGAGATCTGTTGGCCTCCTTTCTCCATTTGCTTTTTTCACTTTCATCGCCTGATCGCGACATAATCTTGACAACATTCGCCAAAGCCTGAAATCTTTCGTGGACCATCGGGATCAATGTCTCCGACAATGTCGTTCCGAGGACGCCACAGACTCTCCGGGATCTTCGTTTTCTTTCAGTATTAGCAGCAGCCAAATAGACTGTGTTTTGCTCGAGTAGACACTTGACTACTCGCTCGGACAACTGCTACAGGGTGTCCCATTCGTAGCGTCGAGAAATTGTCCCGAGCGGAACGGGTTCCGCTTGATACAGTTTTTTGGGGGGAGGGAAGATAGGGTCCTCGTGCGATTTGCAATAGGACGCCCTGTACAAACGGCCCTGTATAAATATAGTCGTCCTGCCTGATACCCGTAGATGTTCACACCTCGCTCGTGGCATGAGTCCAGTGTATACACCTTGTAGCGAACACCTGTACAGAAAAAAAGAGATCGCCGGAACCGTTTACTCAGCATGTCCCTTTTTCTCTAGGTGTCGTAGATGATTGTTCTTTGTCTGCACAGCGTGCAGACCGCACAGAGAGTGTTTGACTGATTTATTTTACGGATGTTCTCGTTAGATACTTTGACGACCCGCGTACCCTTAGAGGACTGTTTCTCTGGTAACGATAGATCCCTGTCTGATCGACAAACATTCGTGTATCGTTCATATTTCTCGCAGATATTATACATTTATATGTATATATTGGTTTCGTTGGTGTCCCATCTGCGTTACGTCATTCTGCAACGTCTATTGCTATTTTAGGCTGCGGAAAGGATCAGTTCCAGTGCGCGAACGGAGACTGCATCAGGTCTGACCAAAAGTGCGACGGCTACATCAACTGTGCCGACGGAACCGACGAAGAGGAATGCGGTAATGCTTCTATAATCCATATTGTAGATATTTATTTATTTATTTTATTGCTGATATTTATTTATTTATTTTATTGCTGATGTTTATTTACTTATTTATTATATTGCTGATATTTATTTATCTACTTATTATATTGCTGATATTTATTTATCTACTTATTATATTGCTGATATTTATTTACTTACTTATTATATTGCTGATATTTATTCACTTACTTATTATATTGCTAATATTTATTTATCTACTTATTATATTGCTGATATTTATTTACTTATTATATTGCTGATATTTATTTATCTACTTATTATATTGCTGATATTTATTTACTTACTTATTATATTGCTGATATTTATTTACTTACTTATTATATTGCTAATATTTATTTACTTATTATATGCCCAATATTTATTTATTTATTCGGTTCGTTAGATCGCCCAGTACCCCATCCGATGCCTGGACGATGTCCTGCCGGCTTCATCATGTGCGTCACCGACAAGGACTGCGTCCCACAATCCTCCATTTGCAACGGGATCCCAGAGTGCAGAGATCGTTCCGACGAAGAGAATTGCGGTTCGTAGATTCGCAGGATTGCCCACGGTTTGTCTTCTCTAGCATCGACGTTCATTGAAATTATCCTTTGTCCTCTTCAGAACCTCCACACTCGTCGTCGAACCTGAACCTGAAGACGTACCCCAGCGAGCAAGTGATCAAAGAGAGTAAGTATATAACGTATATCGAGAACTGTTGGCCTATTTTCAACAGAAATAATCGAGCATTTTCGATAGAACAATGGCTGAGATGTATATATTAATAAAGATTCTCGTTATTTTTCTCGCCTTGGCCAGACCCGGCGAAGCAAGGTAAGACCTTCCGAGAGACACACTTCTTTATGGATCATAGCCACGTGGCGATAATTAATGTCCGATTAATCTGTGCCCATAAAGAACGTCTCACACGTCCCCATCAACATTTGTCTAGGCCACAGCGTCGTTTAATGCCATGTTCGTTACATGCAGGGTAACACTTTAATTATCTGTTGCGTGCCGAGGGTGCAGAGCAAGGCGAACAGCATTCTCAAAGAGACATGTTCATTTTCGGTGTGCAGGGTGTTCCAGCTGCCTTGAGCAGGGACCATCGAATATGTCGCTTCTAACGTCATTCTTTACAGTTGGGACACTCCGTGTACAGGGTGTACGCGCGAAGATTTGTCACCAATTTTTCTAGGCATTTTCGGTGGTGCAATTGAAAAAACTTTCAGATACAATTTTGTCAGTGTTCGGTGGACTATATGGTCGTATATACTTCAATCTCAAAAGATGTCTTTTACGTAAACAAGTCAAGGTCACCTTGACTTTTTTAAACGGCAACATATGTTTTCAACGTCATAGGATTGTTGCTGACGCCGAGACGAATTCGACGGTGTATTATACTATGATCTTGAAATGACTTTGAATTCGAAACTTTTGTACAAACGTAATTTTAATGACAATTAATTTTGAACAAGAAGAATCAGTTTATATTAGATATTATACATATAGATATATATTAAATAAACAAATTTTACTGTTATTCATTAATTAAATAAATATATATAAATATTACATTTCTCACAAATATTATATATAATATTATTATATGTGTAATACTTGTGAGAAATGTGATATTTTTTGAGATTTAAGAATATGCGAACACGTGGCCAGCTAAATACCGATAAAATCGTGTCTCGAACATGTCCGTATTGCGCTGTCGCAAAAGCTTGAAACCAGCAGCAGAACTTAACGCGACACCCTGTATAGCATGTTACATGTTCACGTAAAAATCCAGGGAACTTTAATCCGCATCACTAAATGGGCGTTAACACGAGCATGAGATTAATTTCGTACGAATAACAAGCTGCGGGGTCGCGTTAGCAAAATACTGCAACATTGTGACATCGATTAGGTCGCGAGGTGGTGTTCCAATGCCGAGACGAGGGTCCCGTGCGAGCCAGAGTCCGCTGGCTTCGCGGCAACAATCTGCCATTGCCTCCCGGCAGCACAGACGTCAACGGCCGCCTGGAGATCCCTAATATTCAACTGGATCATGCTGGATCCTACATCTGCGAAGCTGTGGGCTATCCTCCATCAACGTCTGGCCAACAGATCTCGGTCTATCTCCGAGTGGAGAAACGTAGGTGCCGCGGAATCGATCGGAATGAATGAAAAAAGACTAATTAACAAAACGTCATTCTAGTGGAGCAACCGATCACCAACAAACCCCACGTCTGCCAGTACGAAGAAGCGACCTGCAGCAACGGAGAATGCATCCCGAAATCTTATGTCTGCAACGGCAGGCTGGACTGCACCGATGGCTCCGACGAAATGCGATGCAGTGAGTCGCATTCTGTACCTTTTATGTCAAATTTTTAATACGTGAACATTTGTTTAACATAACTGGTAATATTCTTCCAATTCAAACGAGACCAAACGCGACATGCTTTAGACCACATTTAATTAATTACATCGTGATCGATCTTGTTTTATGTAAAAGGAAAAAATATCTGTAAAAACTGTGTCACGTGTGTTACAAAAAGTTCAGTTTTAAAACGTTAAAATTCAAAAAGTTATGTTATTGTATTATGAGTTGTTGTTCCGGGAATTCTAGTCAAAGGACTAGCATAGGCGTACGAAAAAGCATAAGGAAAATGCGAGCAGACCTCTAATAGGGACAATGTGGGAGAACTTCCTGGAATCGTCGCTCTCTTTCGCGATCTATTGTTTACCACGATATCGTGAACAGGTCCCCACGGCTGCGAGCCTAACCAGTATCGATGCAACAACACCGAGTGCGTCAGCAAAGTATGGCGCTGCGACGGCGACAAGGATTGCGCGGATAACAGCGACGAAGAGAACTGCGAGCCGAGCAAACCGGGCTCGCCATGTCGATCCACGGAGTACGCTTGTTCCAGCGGGCAGTGCATACCCAAGACCTTCCAGTGCGACCTCGAGAAGGACTGCATGGACGGCAGCGACGAGATAGGATGCTGTGAGCAGTCAATCTTAGCAGTCTCGACTACCTAGAGCTAGCTTCCTTGACTAACGCGTCGACTTTCAGCCCCCGTGTACATAATCAAGCCACCGCCGCCGATGATCAACTTGAACCAAGGAGAGGTGCTGGTGATCACGTGCGTAGCCATAGGCGTGCCCACGCCGGAGATCAATTGGCGTCTGAACTGGGGCCACATCCCTGCGAAATGCACCATGACGTCCGTGAACGGAACCGGCACCTTGACCTGTCCCGACATCCAAATCGAGGACCAGGGCGCCTACTCCTGCGAGGGATTGAACAGCGCTGGATTCGTGTTCGCGGTCCAGGACGCCATAGTGGTGGTGGAGAAAGGGGATCACATCTGCCCCAAGGGGATGTTCAACGACGGCGCCAGGAGCCTCGACGAGTGCATCTCCTGCTTCTGCTTCGGCGTGGCGCAGGAATGTAGGAGCGCGAACCTGTACACCTATCAGATCCCACCGCCTCTGGACCGGCCCCGCATGGTCATCGCGGACCAAGCCCTCCGTCGGATAGTCGGCGACTTGGAGAACTTCGATGCCAGAAACGTCGGCGCGGACAGCGTCCAGGTTTACGCGGAACTCGCGGGATCCCCGTACAGACCTGACAACAACGCAGCCTACTTCACGATGCCGGAGCACTACCATGGCAGCCAGCTGAAATCCTACGGCGGATACTTGAAGTACAAGATCCGGTACAACGGCACAGGCACGCCGAACTCGGCGCCGGCGGTTATCCTCATGGGGAACGACTACCAACTGGTGCACAGAGGCAGACAGGCGATACCCTATCACGATAACGAAATGTCCGTCAGGTTCTTCCAGGGAGAGTGGCTGAAAGTTCAGGGTTACAACGAGGTGCACGCCACCCGGGAGGACATCATGATGACTCTCGCCAGAGTGGACGATATTTTGATCAAGTACGTAGCAAGAAATGGATTTTTCGGTGACGGATTTTCGAGACGTCGCTGGTTTGTTGCAGAGCGCAGTATGACGACTCTCCGAGCCTGGATGTCTTGATTAACAACATTGTGATGGACACGGCCGACGCGAGGAACACTGGTCTGGGCTCCGCCCTCTATGTGGAGGAGTGCCAGTGCCCCTCTGGTAAGCTAGTCTAACGTTTTTTTGAAAAAACTTTGGGGGTTCCAGGATATTCATAATTTAGAGTCCTCATAGTATAGGATCCTCATAGTCTAGGGTCCTCATAGTATAAGGTCCTCATAGTCTAAGATCCTCATAGTCAAGGGTCCACATGGTATAGGATCTTCATAGTCTAAGATCCTCATTGTCTAGGATCCTCAATAGTCTAGAATCCTCATAGTCCAGAATCCTCATAGTCCAGCACCCTCATAGTCTAGGATCCTCATAGTCTAAGGTCCTCATAGTATAGGATCCTCATAGTCTAGGATCTTCATAGTCTAGGATCTTCATAGTCTAAGATCCTCATTGTCTAGGACCCTCAATAGTCTAGAATCTTCATAGTCCAGAATCCTCATAGTCTAGGATTCTCATAGTCCAGCATCCTCATAGTCTAGGATCCTCATAGTCCAGAATTCTCATAGTCTAGGATCCTCATAGTCCAGCATCCTCATTGTCTAGGATCCTCATAGTCTAGAATCCTCATAGCCTAGAATCCTCATAGTCTAGGATCCTCATAGTCTAGAATACTCATAGTCTAGGATCCTCATAGTCTAAGATCCTCATTGTCAAAAACCCCCAATAGTCTAGCGTCCTCATAGTCTAGGCTCCTCACATTCTAGGATCCTGACAGTCTAGAGTCCTTATAGTCTACGGTCCTCATAGTGTAATTACTGTGCAGGCTACGGCGGTCTATCGTGCGAGCAGTGTGCACCTGGATACCTTAGACGCGAAACAGGACCTTGGCTAGGCCAGTGCTACCGGGATGAGCAAGCCTGTCCTCCAGGGTACTACGGCGACCCATCTAGGAACATCCCCTGCCAAGTCTGCCCCTGCCCACTCACGAATCCATCGAATCAGTGAGTGAAAACGTCGTTCAATCCTTGATAAAGATGCCAACTACGATGTTATCGTCTGAAACAGGTTCGCCAGGACCTGTCATCTAGGATCAGACGGACAACCGACCTGCGACTGTCCAGCCGGCTATGTCGGCCGCAGGTGCGAGCAGTGCGACCAAGGCTACCAGGGCAATCCTCTGATACCTCGCGACAAGTGCATCCCGGTGCAGCAGTGCGACCCGGATGGCAGTCACAGTCCGCATGCCGATCCTCAAACTGGACAGTGCCGATGCAAGGTAGAAAACTTAGCTTGGAAACCGGGTAATTCCATTAATATTGAAATCGGGGAGGGGGAAGAAAATTCTATCGATCGAGAGGGCTCAAGGTCATTTGATGGTCGTCGATGATCTTACGGTATTACATATTGTAGACTGAATAGTCTAGTAGCTTCGAGACGACATTTTTAAGAGATCATGGAATAACCTCGGCACGAACTTGAGCCCATCTAGTTTCGTCAAAGTTGTCTGATGTGTTTGGTACTGTCGATGCTCTCGTTTGTTCGGGAAATCCGAAGTAAGTAGAAGACAGCAAAATGCGAGCGGTGTGTGTTGTGCCGGTACACGGTTTGTATTCAAAGCGCATCTTTCCACAGCAATATGTCACTGGACCCACCTGCAACCAATGCAAGGCGAACACGTTCAGCCTGTCCTCGAGGAACAAGTTCGGCTGCGTCAGCTGCTTCTGCATGGGCATCACCAACAAATGCGTGTCGTCCAACTGGTACAGGAGCGACGTGAGTACCTTTGTCACTTTGTAAAGTGCAGGCAACACGTGTCGATCATCCTGTAACGTCTTCTAGATCCAAATCTCCTTCACGAACTCCATAAGGAACTTCTCCCTGGTCGAGCTGAAGTCTCCCGACGTATCCATCACGGATGCCATCCGTCTGAACACGGGCAGGAGCGGGGAGATCATCTACAGGTTCCGTAACAGCGGGAACAACGACGTCTACTATTGGCAGCTGCCCAACATCTTCCTAGGAGACCAGATCACTTCCTATGGCGGGAACCTGAAGTACACCGTTCGATATGTCCCGGCGCCAGGCGGACAAAGTTCCAGGAACAACGCGGCCGATGTTGAACTGATCAGCGTGAGTAAAATCAACAACATATCGACGACGAAGATCGAGATCATCATCCGATTGTCCCGCAGGCAAACGACATCAATCTGTTGTACTTCTCTCGAGAGTTTCCCGAGGCTGACACCCCGCACACCTTCACGGTGCCATTGTTGGAACAGTACTGGCAACGGACAGACGGAACCGAGGCTGACAGAGAACACCTGCTGATGGCGTTGGCTGACGTAAGGGCGATCAGGTTCAAGGCCACCTACACCACGCACACCGACGAAGCTGCGTAAGTCGCACCATCCAGCAAAACCTGGAGAACTTTTGGCGGTTGTGAACTGTATGTTGTTAGAGGGAATGTTTGGGTGAGAGAGAAAAGGGAGATGGGATGACGTTTCGTCCGGGGCCCGCTAGAGGACTCGTCGGTAAGGCCATCCTAGCGGGCCCTTGCCTTAGACGTTGGGATATCGGTAGGAAGGACGAAGTCTGTATATATAGGAATTGAGGCGGATCGGTTACCAGCGGGAAGAGGAGCCATCTGCTGGCGGGTCTAGAGGTAGCCGCCACAAACTCTTAACCGAAAGATTCTTCATCTCCCCTAGATTGTCCCTGGTGTCCCTGGACACAGCGGAGAAGCACAACACAGGAAAGTCTCGAGCAGTGGAGGTCGAAGAATGCAGCTGTCCGGAAGGGTACAAAGGACTCTCCTGCGAGAACTGCGACGTGGGATTCACCAGAACGAACGGAGGACTCTATCTTGGCATCTGTGAGGCCTGCAAGTGCAACGGACACTCGAACCAATGCGACCCAGACACCGGCGTCTGCGAGGTACCTTCGAACCTTGAACCTCTGATCGTCCTTGGGAACTGCTCCTAAACCGGCTTTCTGTTCGCAGTACTGTGCCCACCACACCACCGGCGCGTCCTGCGAGTACTGCGAGCCTGGCTACAAAGGCGACGCGACTAGAGGAACCCCCTACGACTGCACCTACAGTCCGGTAGAACCGCCACCCGATGACTGCAACTGTAACAGGGCAGGCTCGTACAGCGACTACTGCATAGAAGAACGGTGCGAGTGCAAACGCAACGTCGAAGGCCCCGAATGCAACAGGTGCAGACCGGGCACGTTCGGTCTGGCCGAGGACAATCCTGAGGGATGCAGCCAGTGCTACTGCAGCGGTATCACTGACCAATGTCACGAGAGCTCGCTCTACGTGCAGCAGATACCNCGAAGTCTGTATATATAGGAATTGAGGCGGATCGGTTACCAGCGGGAAGAGGAGCCATCTGCTGGCGGGTCTAGAGGTAGCCGCCACAAACTCTTAACCGAAAGATTCTTCATCTCCCCTAGATTGTCCCTGGTGTCCCTGGACACAGCGGAGAAGCACAACACAGGAAAGTCTCGAGCAGTGGAGGTCGAAGAATGCAGCTGTCCGGAAGGGTACAAAGGACTCTCCTGCGAGAACTGCGACGTGGGATTCACCAGAACGAACGGAGGACTCTATCTTGGCATCTGTGAGGCCTGCAAGTGCAACGGACACTCGAACCAATGCGACCCAGACACCGGCGTCTGCGAGGTACCTTCGAACCTTGAACCTCTGATCGTCCTTGGGAACTGCTCCTAAACCGGCTTTCTGTTCGCAGTACTGTGCCCACCACACCACCGGCGCGTCCTGCGAGTACTGCGAGCCTGGCTACAAAGGCGACGCGACTAGAGGAACCCCCTACGACTGCACCTACAGTCCGGTAGAACCGCCACCCGATGACTGCAACTGTAACAGGGCAGGCTCGTACAGCGACTACTGCATAGAAGAACGGTGCGAGTGCAAACGCAACGTCGAAGGCCCCGAATGCAACAGGTGCAGACCGGGCACGTTCGGTCTGGCCGAGGACAATCCTGAGGGATGCAGCCAGTGCTACTGCAGCGGTATCACTGACCAATGTCACGAGAGCTCGCTCTACGTGCAGCAGATACCTGTCGGAGTCTACAATGCGCAGCACGGATTCACCTTGACCGATTCGTAAGTGCCTCGGACCATCTTCCTCTTCTAGATAGTCACACGGGTAGCAGGCTTGACTGCCGATACTCGCGAGCTATTGGGTGTCCGAAAGGTTCTCAGAGACGCGTTGCATCCGCAGGACCAGGCAAGAGGTGATCGACGAGGGCTTCGAGTTGAACATCGCCCTGAACGAGATCGGCTACCGCTACTCGGAAGGTCGAGGTCGTAGACTCTTCTGGTCCCTGCCACCAATCTTGACTGGCAACAAGATCAAAAGCTACGGCGGCAATCTCACGCTGACCCAGCACATCACAGCGTACCCTGGAGCTCAGAGCTACAAGGACCAGGACATCATTCTAGTAGGAAACGGAATCACTCTGTTCTGGACGAATCCTGTGGAGATCCAGCCTGACGTCCCTCTGGTACGTTGGCAACGTCGGCTAAACTGCTTGCCAGGCTATCTAGTGCTAGCCGCGTCATCGAATCTGCTAACTCTGTATCGTGCAACCTTCGCAGACCTACTCTGCGCCCCTGAGAGAATCCGAATGGAAGCGCCTGACGACAGAAGGACCTCGCGTGGCGTCTCGAGTGGACATGATGACAGTGCTCTCTAATCTGGAATCGATCCTGGTTCGGGCCTCTCACAGCGACAGGATGACGGCTACCTATATCAGCGACATCAGTTTAGACACAGCAGTGGACATACCTGGAGGCAGGAGAGCCGTCCACGTGGAGGTCTGCAGATGTCCGACCGGGTACACCGGGACATCCTGCGAGTCCTGCGCCAGAGGCTACTACAGGGACACGAACGACCGCTCGACTAGCTACTTGGGCTCCTGCAACCTCTGCCCTTGCAACAACCACGAGGAGAGCTGCGAGATCGCGAGGACCGGACAAGTGAAGTGCCACTGCCTGCCAGGATACGGCGGTCAATACTGTCAAGACACTGGTACGTCGATTAATGATCTTGTCTCCCGGGCACCATCGACTATCCCCCTCCCCTCCCCCAGGTCCAACCTGAAGGTCGAGGACTGCGCCCAGATTTGTATTAATCAATGAATTCGATGCTAGGTGAATTGATGGTAAGTCTAACGCCAATGACGGGCACGGTAAAGCCGAACATGTGGGTGCTGTTCACCTGCAGCTACGAGTCCTCGGACCAGTTGTATATATGGTTTAAACTGACGCCGTTGCGTGGCTATCCCTTAACCGCAATCCCCGCGATACCAGGCGCTTCTATGCGCACTGGTAAGGGCGGCTACCGCAACTGGTACGTTTACGTGGAACTAGAGCCTTGCAACGTCGAGTGTTACATCCAGGACCGCGACGGCAAGGACCTGATCAAGGTCGTCACATCGATCTTCACAGGTTTGACGGACCACCGGGATTCATACAGTGTTTGTCCGTCCTTGGTGAACAGCATTCGCTGAGTCGATCATCATCCTTGCTTATAGACCTCGGTGGCACCTGTTATATCCCACTGTCACTGGTGCAAGTGCTTAGGGTAGGGTGGTCCACAGTCGGAAGAGGCTAACGAGGAGTTACGTGAAACGGGATCTAGATGGTCTATTTAACCTTTTAGGTACGGCTGAATTCTGCGCGAGGCTATTTCTCTGGACGGCAGAGTCTGATATGTACTGTACAGAGTGTCTGTATATTGTTAAGATACAGTTATATTGTTAAGATAAGTCTGTATATTGTAAATCGATGTGAAGACAAAAGAAGTGTGAAACAAACAAGAGTAAGCCACTATAGTGGCGCGTCGTTCAGAGAGATGACATCCGCGGAAGCCGCTATAGTGGCGCGTCGTGCCTAAAAGGTTAATTATTGATACGTTGTGGTACTTATGTGGGGCTTGGAGAGTCTCACGATCAGTTATTTTGTTTCGGCAATGGTCTAACTCACTTTGTTTAGACTATGGTCCAAGTCATTTCGTCTAGACCATGGTCTAAAAATCATTTTGTCCCTAAACTATGGTCCACGTTATTTTATCGAGATTATAGTGTAAATCATTTCGTCTCGACTATAACCGATCCAATAAAGTCCAAATATGCGTAGAAGGGCTTCAGGACTCGTTACCTTCTTCCAACTAAAAAGCTGAACGTATCGTATCCATGTCGATGGATACATGTCTTTACATCGACCATGTTTGTGTAACCCTGTTACCATTCTATGTTTCTATGTTTCATAAAACAGAATCTACACTGTTCCAGGATCGAATTTGCATTGAATTATCCATAAAATTGCAGAGCATCACCGGCCAACGCCCATCCCGCCATACCCAACGATCTCGCCGCCAAGGATCGTGGTTTACATCAAGGGCCCCGAGTTCCAGATCGTCGGAACAGGAACCACTGTCGAGTACCATTGCTCTGGAACGTCTTTGGACAACGTGAGTGAACCTTGCCTTGTCTCGAAATGGAAAGCACATTGTTTCCTACATCTTTGATTCGCAACAGGAACGCGTGGATGTGAGGTGGGAGAAGGAAGGTGGCCAGCTACCACCTGGTAGAAGCGTGGACGACAGTCGTGGTCTCTTGATCATCAGGGAAGTCAAGGTCTCGGACAGCGGTATCTACGTCTGCCAGGTCAGCGACGGTGTCCACGTCGCCTTCAAGAACGTTACCCTCACCGTTGGAGGTAAGCATCTATCGCAATCGTCTAGAGACCAATTGGTCAGCTTTTCTTAAACCGTTCTGTCTCGTGGACGCAGCTTTCCCGCAAAGCTTGCTGGAGATCCCAGGTACACCAAAGTTTAACGCCTCGGATGTTTAACATTGTCGCGGTAATTTCTCTTGTCCCTCAGCTTGGAGACGAAAATGGACAACTTGGGAATAGGAGATACGATTAATTCGTCTCTCGCGGCTCTTCTTCCCAAGTTGTCCATTCTCGTTCGCAAGCTGAGAAACAATGTGAGAGAAATTACCGTAACCACATTCGTCATGCTCATCTGTGAATCCCTGATTCCTTGAAGGCGTGAACCCAGTGCCGCCTAGAGCGATGATCCTGCCCCCATCGTTGGAAGTGATAGAAGGTGAACCAGCGGAGTTCCGTTGCGAGGCAAACGGCAACCCACCGCCGCAAGTCGAATGGACCCGAGTGCACGGTGCCATGAACCCCGAAGTGCTCACCTACAACGGGATCTGGTCGTTGAGAGCAGTGTCGAAGAACGACGCAGCGGAGTACAGGTGCACTGCCAGGAACAACATCGGAGTGGACGAAAGGACAGCCATCCTCTACGTCAGATGTGAGACGATCTCATCAAATACTAAACGCCGCAGAATTTCTCGAACCGTAACTCGAATCACCCTTCTCTCTCTCCAGCAAACCCTTCCAAGCCTCCCGAGGAAGGCATACAGCCCACGATAACGCCATCGGAATGGATAGGAGCAGTCGGCGAAGTGGTCCGGATCACCTGCACCCCGTCCCAGGTAGCGAACATCACCTGGTCGAGACAAGGCAATCTACCTCTGCCACCGTCTGCAAGACAGCGCAGCGGTGTGCTGACCATCATGAACCCGAGCCTGCACGACTCAGGCGTCTACGTCTGCATAGCTACCAGCCACGTTGGCACGGAGACCAGCAGGACAGTGACCATCACGATCCAGCCTAGAAGAACGGCGCCGTCGGTGAAGGTCAAGCCGGAGAAGCAGACGGTCCCTCAAGGCAGCATTGCCGAGGTCAGCTGCTTGACCAGCGGCGAACCGGGTGTCCAAGTCAGGTGGAGCAAATACCTGGAGCTGATGAGCTCCCGCTCGCAACAAATTGGCGACATTCTGAGGATCACGAACGTACAGATCGCTGACAGAGGAGTTTACGTCTGCAAGGTCACTGGACCATCCGGAAGCCAGGAAGCTAGCGCTATCATCGAGGTGGAACGTGAGTAGCAACGAAGACCTTGCTCTAACCGCTTTAATCATTCGATTCTTTCCATTAGCTCGAGAGGCACCTTTGCTAGAACTCTACCCCAAAGAGACTCAGGCGGTGATCCTAGGAGGTTCCGCAGATGTCCAATGCAGAGCCATAGCCGGCACCCCTGTGCCAGAGCTGCACTGGTCTCGCAGCGACGGCAGACCCTTCGCTCACAACATCAAACAGCTCCCTGGAGGAGTGTTGCGGCTGACCAACATCACCATCGGCGACAGCGGCGGCTACGTTTGCAACGCGGTGAACCCTGTCGGCACCACCTCGGCGGTGGCCTACATAGAGGTGCACACGCAGCCTGTGATCACCATTTCACCCAGGTCTGGCATCCTCACGGTCAAACGAGGCGACAGGGTGCGGCTGGTGTGCACCGCCACTGGGAATCCTCAGCCTAGCATCGAGTGGACCAAGCACATCAACGGCATCGTGCCTTACCAGTAAGTTTGGGATCAGACCTTCGTTAGACTAGGTCTGGATTTCGATGGAATAGCAACCGAGTGACCCGGCTCGAAGGACGAACACGTCGCTAATACGAACTGACCGTTCTCTGCACACAGCAAATCGATCTTCGAGATGAAGGCAACTCCGCAGAGCGCCGTCTACGACATTCAATCCGTCTCTCACAACGACGAAGGATCCTACACCTGCCACGCCATGAACGCGGCTGGAATCATGGAGGAACGGGTGCACATTCGCATCGAGGACGACAACGAGGTCCGGTCAACTTCCTCCACCCCCGATCCCGACCACAACTCGACCCACGCAAACAACGATCTCTGAAAATTACAGGTTGATCCCGATCCAAACGGGCCCATCATAGTGTCCGAGAACAACTTCAAGATCCCCAACGGCGGCAAGGTGGAGATGCGCTGCCAGGTCGTTTCCGAAGTGAGCCACATCTACTTGGACTGGAAGAGGAGCGACCATCGTCCCCTCCCCGAAGGCAGCATGGTGCATAACGGAGTCTTGACTATCCCGGCGGTGGACAGAAGCGCTGCCGGAGAGTACGTGTGCCTGGGCATGGACCAGGGCGGCAATGTCCTCTTCAGGGCCAAGTCCTACCTCGAAGTGTCGTGTAAGGACGCCTTGAGCTTCTATCACCTAGTCTTTGCAACTCCGGTGCTATAAAATTGTGTCTCCATAGCCCCGCCCAGGATAGTCCTCAACCCGCCTAGACAGACAGTGGGGCCCGGCGAGAACCCGTCCATAGTTTGCAGCGCGACAGGGGACGAGCCGATGACCATCGAGTGGTCAGCCATAGGTCGCGAGCTCCCGTACAGCGTGAGCCGGGACAGAGGTGTCCTCCAGTTCCATGGGATCACGTACTCCGACGCCGGCAAGTACGTCTGCAAGGCCAGCAACGAGGAAGCCACTGCCGAAGCTGTTGCCGAAGTCCTGGTGAATGGTACGCTGCAGTTGCAATTGTAGGATCTTGGGGAAAAAGAGGGAACCTTCTCTGTTTCCAAATTTCCATTCGCGCTCGTGTCCTTAGAGGGTCCTGATCCCCACACGATTAGCATCTTCTTCTTCCATGATCTCTGATGCCTCTCTCAATCGATCGTCTCCTTCCAGAACGGTCTTACGAAGACACAGGCGTCAGGGCTTCCCAGCGTGACGTGATCTCCTACGTGGGCATGCCGGTGCATCTGCGGTGCACCGTGCAGGAACGCGCGACCATACAGTGGAGCAGGGAAGGCCAGCCTCTGCCATCGAACGTCAGGATAGAGGACGACATTCTGGAGATACCTCGGGCCAGGTTGGAGGACAGCGGAAGATACATCTGCCAGATCCAGACGGAGCGTGGCGTATCCAGCGACTACATCAACCTGAACGTGTCCCGTAAGTTTGGCGAAATGAAGGCCCCGCTGCGCGACCGAAGGCCCCTCCACGTGATATTCTTAGCGCTGTTCGCATTGATCCGCGAGTACCCGATCGGGACCGAGGGTTCCTCAGATTCAAGTTCTCTAGAGTTCGGAATATTTCGAGCCGGAACGAATTCAGCCCCGAGATGAATGACAATGGTGTTGTTTGATAGCTGACGTGCTCCCGGATTGCATGCGACAGAACCAAACGCACTGTGGGCACAGGAAGTGCATATGCAACGATCGAGGATGCATTCTGTTGGATTACGGTTGCTATATCTATGTCCAGTACATGGACAAACACGGCGAGAACTTGAACCGTCGCTATCTACACCATCGACGCGGTTTGTTCTGAGATCATTATGTGTTCCTGTGACGTCTCTCTTTGGGTTAACGCTTCCTCCCCTTGTTAATCCGACATCTGTCCAGTCGTCGCTCTCTCTCATACGTAGAGTTCATGTTAGTCTCATACCAGCCGCCCGGACCGCGACGGTCCATGTCGTTCCATCGATCCTCATCCCATGAACTTGTGCCGAGTACCGAGGGGATTAATCAATCGAAAGGTTTTGGAACACGTGGGAGCTGGAGCTGGGTTCAATTGTCCGTGTTGGAAGGGACACCACTGCCAACGATCCCTGACGATCCCGACTTGATTTCAGCCACGGTGATGCCCGCGGTCAGCGTGGAGGTCTCCCAGGACCCAGTGAACATCGGGGACACCATAGACATCCGCTGCGCCTGCACCGGCGCCCAGAATCCTCGCTACCATTGGTCCAGGCCTAATCACCCGCGTCTGCCGGCCAATGCTCAGGAATACGACAGCGTTCTGAGATTGACCAGCGTGACGCTGGCCGAAAGCGGGCTGTACAGGTGCACCGCGGAGACGCAGGAAGGCATCTTCGATCAGGATTTCAACCTCGTTGTTCACGGTAACGATTTCACCTCTATCACTTTTCACGTTCCCCGCGGAAATTCAGTGTCGCGACCCGACGGTGCGACCAAAGCAATTAATTAATCGTTCTGTTCACGCTTCCAAATCTCTAACGTGAGTATCCAACGAACTTGAGGCGGAAAGACGCGGATGCCGAGTAACGAGAATCATTTCCCAGGTGGACACAACGACGCACCAGCGATCGAGACCAGGTACGCGCCCTATGGATCCAGCATAGAGATGAACTGCAGACCTAACGCCGACCTAGAGTATCCGTTGAGCTTCCACTGGAGCAAGTTAAGAGGCCTGCTCCCAAGCGACGCGCAAATCTTCGAGGTAGATGAAAGAGCGACGGGTCACTTCAGGTCCGATCGATTGCTTTTGACTCTCCGTCCTTGTCTTCCAGAGCAAACTGAACCTGACGAACGTCAGGGCCGAGGACGCGGGCACTTACATCTGCACAGTGAACAACGACCACGACAGCATAGAGATACCGACGGTCCTGGTGGTGACCGGAGTGGTGCCATACTTCAGCCAGGCACCAGAGAGCTACATCGCCTTGCCCCCTCTACGCGACGCCTACCTGAGGTTCAACATCGAGGTGTCCTTCAAGCCTGAGAATCGAAACGGTATCATCCTGTACGAATCGGACGACGGAGTCAGCGACTTCATTATGTTGGCCTTGGTGAAAGGGTACCCGCACTTCAGGTAAGAAATTGCTGCACCTCGATATCGAAGGGTCGCTTCGACCTTGTGCAACTTCGCGTAAAACGATCCTACGACGTTCTTTCCGGGCTCGTTTCAAAGAGCAGAGTCTCTACTTTATTCCTCCTGAAGTAAAATTTATCAACGGCCCTTTTCCTTCCCCGGAACCAGAGAAAGAACTAAACAATCCACGTTTTCCTATTTTTCAAGTTTGGACGCTTGCACAGAGTTCAGCAATTCTTTCATCGAGTCCACGCTAACGCGACCTTGTAGAGAGAAGTTTGCCCTTCGCGATGAGCCCTCGAAAGTCGATCTACGATTTTTCCTCACGATTCGATCGTATTTTGAACGAAACCGTCCCAATGTTTCAGCTTCGACCTTGGCTCGGGCCAAATCACGATCCGCGCCGACAGGCCAGTGACCATGAGCGAATGGCACACCATCAAACTGCAACGCAACAGGAAAGAGGGCACCATGCTGGTGGACGGGGAGGGTCCTTACAAAGGCGTGGCAGACGGTAGAAAGCAAGGATTGGACATCAAGACGTCTTTGTTCGTGGGTGGTGTACCAAACAACGTAGCCCTTACTAAGCATGCGACAGTGACCACAGGGTTCGTCGGCTGCATCAGCAGACTCGTAATCAGCGAGAGGGACGTTGATTTAAATGACAATCAGGCCCGCGGCATCGGCATCACCAACTGCGAGACCTGCGCCGAGAACCCCTGCAACAATGGCGGCGTTTGCCAAGAGGCAGGCACCAAGATCGGGTACACCTGCATGTGCAGGGCCGGATACAGTGGAAAGCATTGCGACCATGTTGGCCAGTCCTGCTATCCAGGTGAGAATCAATGATTTTATGCATTCTTGACAAAAATAAGTTGGTGACATTTAAAACAGTAACATAATATGTATATACCATTTCCAACTTGTTGAAGTTGTTAAGCAAAGAATGAAACCCCCAAGTGACTCATGGTTCTTGCAACAGAAGCAGACAGTTTTGATTTTGCATAATGATCCACATTTTGGTAATTAGTAGACTGCGGAGTTCATGTATTTATGACAAAAATAAGTTGGTGACATTTAAAACAGTAACACAATTTAAGTAACTGAAGGATATCAACTTGTTGAAGTTGTTAAGCAAAGAATGAAACCCCCAAGTGACTCATAGTTCTTGCAACAGAAGCAGACTGTTTTGATTTAGCATATAATGATCCAGAGTCTGGTAATTAGTAGACTGCGGAGTTCATGTATTTATGACAAAAATAAGTTGGTGTCATTTAAAACAGTAACACGATTTAAGTAACTGAAGGATATCAATATACCATTTTCAACTTGTTGAAGTTATTAAGCAAAGAATGAAACCCCCAAGTGACTCATGGTTCTTGCAACAAAAGTACTCAGTATTGATTTTGCATAATGATCCACAGTCTGGTAATTAGTAGACTTTGGACTTCGCGCATTTATGACAAAAATAAGTTGGTGTCATTTAAAACAGTAACACAATTTAAGTAACTGAAGGATATCAATATACCATTTTCAACTTGTTGAAGTTATTAAGCAAAGAATGCAACCCCCAAGTGACTCATAGTTCTTGCAACAGAAGCAGACTGTTTTGATTTAGCATAATGATCCACAGTTTAGTAATTAGTATACTGTGGATTTTATGCATTTATTAGAAGAAACAAGAGTGAATAGATTTAATAAAAAACTGTGAAGATATTGGAAGAATTTACACTAAAGCTGACTCAGTAAAACCATTAAAGAGAAACAATTAATTTTCATTTTATTTCTTCTTCTTACAATTGACTTGGCAGAATTATAATTTGCAAAAGCGTCTCCACAGTCTAATAATTAATATCTCGGTGCTAGGATGTAATAGACAGATAACACGGAGGACTCTGGTAGCCATCCAACTTAGACCCCAGGTTTATCGAATTCTCACTAATCCGAAGAACTGTGATTCGGTTTTCAGGTGCCTGCGGCGAAGGCAAATGCGTGGAAAACGAGACAGGTTTCGACTGCTACTGCCCCCATGGAAAAACGGGGTCCAGGTGTGAGAATTTGATGAACATCCACGATCCAGCCTTCCACGATGACAAGTCGTTCGTAGCCCATGACACGCCTAAAGCCTTCAGACGGTGAGCCCTCGTCATAAACGTGCACGAGCACTTTCTATAGCACAGTAGAATCGGTAGAATCGGTAGATTTATTCTGTTACCCTCTCACCGTGTTCGATGTTTCACCGGATTGCAAATCCTCGATAAGAACAATTATTTGATTGATATCTCCTTTGTTAAATGTCACGACTTTGCTCGACCTAACACCAAGTTTCCCAGGACGCGATCGTCGTGATACTAACACCGTGCTGTCTCCGTTCACCGGTGACCATTTGTTAATGTTGAACCATTGTTTTCAGGACGAGAATGAGCACTACACACAGTCGGTACAGTTCACGCCGCGCACAAGTTAGACCCGCACGATCGAGGCCACATCACCACAATAATCCGCACCACACGAACCATTAACCCCGTTTTTTGTTACTTCGTCTCACCAAAAGTCCGTGCACATATATATATAATGTAGTACCGAAACGAAAAAGAAAAAGAAAAAGAAAAAAAAGAGAATACAAAACGACGAGTCATATTACTTTCTGTCGAGTGGTATCGTAACCCGTAGGAACAAATCAATTTTAACTGCTATTTATAGTTGTCAGTCAGCATTATATATATATACATATATATAAATATTATATTTTTTTTATGAGAAGTTTATTTACATTAGATTCTTTTTCTGCGTTTCCCGCCTTGTACGTGCCGTAGATCGTGAGAATGCTACGGCGATTTCGCAATGTGCCTGTATAGTGAGTAATTCCTTGGAATGAACCTCATGGTGCTGTAATAGTAGATTATCGACTACACTTTATTATTATTATTATTTTTATTATTATTATTATTATTATACACTTATTATATATATGTAACTCAACCCTCCACGGTCTCGAGCAAGGTGTCAATTAAGAGAATGCTAATTCGAAGAAGGCCGCGAGGGTTTCTTTTTTTTGTACAGCTTATAATAATACATGCCACGCATTGTGTTAGTCATGTTAAATAATTATCGAAGGAAAATCTAGAAGGCATTATAAAATTAGCTCACTGCCAAACGAATTGCACCCCGACGGAAAGACCGTAGACAATTCGTCGCGTTTGTTCAGTAATGACTGCCACAAGGAACACACTTACGAACACACACACACGCGCGCGCGCGCGCACGCATAAACAAGTTTTTGTACTTACACTGCGAGAACACGCGCGAACGTGCCAGAAGCGTGTTTCAAGGTCGCGAGGACCTCTAATATATTCGATAGGCTTTAGTGTAGCTACGAGCGTAAATACATGTTTTTTTTTCTCGAGATGCAAATAAAAAATTGTTTTTAGCAGGAGTCACGTTGCCTTAAACATTCCACCACCACAGTCTTAAAAACAAAAACACTGCCAAATCAGAGGTGAGTTTCTTCAAAAGTTCCCGCTATAGGAGAAAATCGGTCGACCAGATCGGCTAGGATCGGGACCGACGACACATTCTCTAATAGTCCTTATAACGTACAGTGGCTAACGAAGGTATTTCAACGCCTTTTAAAACGGAATATCTTTTTTAGAACTCGACTGAATTACTTGAATATTTTTTTGACGACAGGGGGACCAGTCTACCAGACTATAACCAGAATGCTTTTTTTAAAGGTCAACAAATTTTGATAAAATTTTCAATATGCATATAAATTACCGAGATCTATGAAACGCATTTTTTAAATTTTCATTATATAGACTAAGATAAAAAAGAAACGTTAAAAGATGAGAATTTTTATTTTATTTTGTTATCCTAAGCAGTAGCAAAATTACAAAAGAAACATTCTGGTTATGGTCTAGTAGACTGGTCCTTCTGTCATCTAAAAAAAATATCCAGGTTGTTTATTCCAGTTCTAAACAAGTTATTCGCTGTAAACCTCAACTGAAAAATGCTGAACTCCTAGACAGCTATGACTAAAACCATGCTCCGTCTCCCACTAACAGGAAACCCCCGTGAACTCGCATCCTCCAAACCCCTGTGAACTCGCCTCCAAAACCCCGGCGCACAAAACGACCTTGTCACGACCTTCGACTTCTCCCTAGGTTCAAAGCGGCTATGAACTTCAACCCTATGGACGAAGGGGACGGCGTTTTACTGTACTGTGCCCAAAGCGACGAGGGCAACGACGACTTCGTGTCGCTGGTCGTCAAGGACAGACGCGTGGAGTTCAGATACGACCTTGGATCGGGGACCGCGATGCTCAGATCGAGCTTCGTCCTTCAGCCAGGCGTGTGGACCCACGTCTCGGTGAACAGAGATTACAAAGAGGGAAATCTGACGGTGAACGGCGAGCCGACTATCAAGGACAGGTCGCCGGGAAGCGATCGCACAATGTCACTGAACACTCCGCTGTACATCGGAGGCGTGGACCGCAGGAGGATCGTGATAAACAAGAACGCTGGCGTGGACAGAACCTTCCGCGGCTGCATCAGCGACGTGAGTGCACTGACGAATGCACTGCTCGAAGAGTGTGTACAGCGTAGACAAATTTCTGGTCAAAATTTGGCCAACTTTGACCGATGATAACTCCGCGAGAAATCATCGTACGAAGATGACTCCTGTTTTAAATTAAAGAGGAAGGATCGAACTTCGTTTTACTACAAACAACATCCTCGAAAAGAATTTTACAAAGTCCGTGCATTTCGTTAAACTCTGCAATTTTCGATATGACAAACGTCACCCCATGTTTAAAGGGTTACAGTGGCGAGGGTGCGTCAAACTTGAAATCGAGAAACAGTGTCTTAAAGTAGAGGTTTCAATCTTCGATTTAAAAAAAAAAGTCATCATTCTACGATGATTTTCCGCGAAGTTATCGCCAGTTGAATTTGGTCAATTTTTATCCAAAATTTGTCTATGCTATAATTTCGTTGGACAGTATAATTATGCAGAAAACTTGCATCATCGTTTCAGCTGGGGGTGTCCGGTACGAGCGTGGACATACTGAAGTCAGCGATAGACTCTGCTAACATAGACGACTGCAACATCCAGCACCTTAATCAGACCAAGTTCGCCATAGCTACCACCACCCAGTTGCCCACGACAACGCTGTACGACCCTTGCAACTCCAACCCCTGTATCCATGGGATGTGTCAGAACGCAGACTCCCGTGATTACTCGTGCACCTGCGAATACGGCTACGTGGGCAGGAACTGCGAGAATATTTTGAAACAGTGTGAATTACTCCTTCCTTGCAACAATGGGGGAACCTGCAGTGATCTCTATGGATCGTACAAGTGCGACTGTCGACTGGGTTACAGTGGGCAGAATTGCGAGAAACGTAAGTGTACAGAAGCCTCGAGCTCCTGTCTGTTACCTAATCCAAGATATTCGAACCGATTTTCAGAGGTGGAGATCACCTACGACGTTGCCTTCAGAGGAGATGGGTGGCTAGAGCTGGATAGGTCTGTGATGACCCATGACGAAGAGTGCGAAGTGCTATGCTTCGAGATCTCTACCAACCGTACCAGGGGGCTGATCATGTGGCATGGTCAGACTCCGAACGACCTCAACCCTGATCATTACATGGCCCTCGCTGTAGTGGATGGGTAGGTCCATCTCTCCAACTTTTCCTATTCACCTTTTCTTTCGTACGGAGCCATTCTTTTACAGTTACGTGGAGTACCAGTACAACCTAGGCACCGGTCCGGTGGTGATCAGAGTGACTGCTCAGAAAGTCGACGATGGAGAGAGACACAGGATAATCCTGAAACGCCAAGGCAGCGATGGTAGCATAGAATTAAATGGAGAGCACATGGAGAGCGGAGCAACTTATGGCACTCAGCAGACCCTGAACACCAGAGGCAGCGTCTACCTGGGTGGTGTGCCTGATTACGCCATGACTTACGACAAGTACCAGGATGGTTTCTCTGGGTGCATCTACACCATGGAGGTGCAGGACTCCAGGGCTATAGACATTGGCGAGAAAGCCATACGAGGCAAAAACGTCTTGCCTTGCACCAGGTATATATCGTCTACTTTTTTGCCACCGATAGGAGAAGACTCTTTGGAGAAGTTTCTCTGATTTAACGCTAAATCTATCATGGTCCGAAGGTTTCTTATTTTACAATTCTAAGACATTTCAAGCCACCAGTTCCTTATTCGACAATTCTACAAACGTCGTAGACTTTTTCATAATAAATTCTGGAATAAATTAAATTACTGGAACAAAAGAGCTTATCGTTATATCTCGGTAGATTTAGCGTTAATTATGAAAGCTGACAATGTAGTAACTTACCGAACTGGTCGTCAATGACGCTTATGGTGTTTCATGCTGCCCAGAGCAAGATGGATCCCGTCCTCGTTGGTGTTCACAGACGCGGACACGGACATGTTCGACGCGTTTGTTCCCCCGCCCCCTGTAAACATAATCCACCCGAAGCCAGCGGCCAATCTGGCCGCGTACAACATCAAACACTACTCACTGTTAATCCTGCTCCAAAACCTGCTTGCCTTTACCATGGACGTTCGAGAACAGAGCGTGCTTTTTACAGTATTATGCATAGACACCGTGAACGCGGTCAAGTGTATACTAAGTTAAGTGTTTCTTGTCGAGGATAGGCCTGACAACCGTGTGTGTGTCCCCTCACTGGGAACGATCCCAATGAGCCGACACAGCCCGGGATAGTTCTTGTAATTATATTTAACTTTGTAAATTCTTTGACGCTTCGTTAAAGTCTGAGACGGGTTCCCGTGGTACGTAAGACCAACGCGTGTCCGACTGTGCTCCTAATTTCTATAGTTCAACTTTGACCTTTGTCTGTTTGGCAGTAACCCGGACGACAGACTACCAACCCGCGGTGATCTCGGAACGTTTCACTAGGACGGTTTACTTGGTCCCGAAGTCGCAGAGCATAGTCGAAGAGCCAAACGAACAGTNATAGTTCTTGTAATTATATTTAACTTTGTAAATTCTTTGACGCTTCGTTAAAGTCTGAGACGGGTTCCCGTGGTACGTAAGACCAACGCGTGTCCGACTGTGCTCCTAATTTCTATAGTTCAACTTTGACCTTTGTCTGTTTGGCAGTAACCCGGACGACAGACTACCAACCCGCGGTGATCTCGGAACGTTTCACTAGGACGGTTTACTTGGTCCCGAAGTCGCAGAGCATAGTCGAAGAGCCAAACGAACAGT